TGTTCAAACCATACAAACAAGAACCATGCATATTCCTTGTTGATATCATTGTTCATTCCATTGTTCAAGCCATACAAACAAGAACCATGTATATCCCTTGTTCATATCATTGTTCATTCCATTGTTCAAGCCATACAAACAAGAACCATGTATAACCCTTGTTCATTTCATTGTTCAAGCCATACAAACAAGAACCATGTATATCCCTTGTTCATATCATTGTTCATTCCATTGTTCAAGCCATACAAACAAGAACCATGTATAACCCTTGTACATTTCATTGTTCAAACCATACAAACAAGAACCATGTATAACCCTTGTTCATTTCATTGTTCAAACCATACAAACAAGAACCATGTATAACCCTTGTTCATTTCATTGTTCAAACCATACAAACAAGAACCATGTATAACCCTTGTTCATTTCATTGTTCAAACCATACAAACAAGAACCATGTATATCCCTTGTTCATATCATTGTTTATCCCATTGTTCAAACCATACAAACAAGAACCATGTATAACCCTTGTTCATTTCATTGTTCAAACCATACAAACAAGAACCATGCATAACCCTTGTTCACATCATTGTTCATATCATTGTTCAATCCATACAAACAAGAACCATGCATAACCCTTGTTCACATCACTGTTCATATCACTGTTCAAACCATACAAACAAGAACCACGTATAACCCTTGTTCACATCATTATTCACATTATTGTTCATATCGTTCATATCATTGTTCATATTATTGTTCATATTGTTCATACTATTCATATCATTGTTCTTATCATTGTTCATGCCAGTTCTGCGTTTCATTAGCCAAATACTCTTTTCAAATGACCCTCTCGATTCACTTTGAGGTTTCTCGGTCAACTGGTACTTAAGTGCTTGAGTTTAGCAAACATCATCTGAATCCTTAAGAGAGAGAGGGCCTCATGCCACCTTATTTCTATGGCTTCTATTGTTGTTTTACTTTATAAAGTTGTGTGTGGGTGGCATAGAGATGGATGGATATATGGATTGATAGAGACATATATGTGTGTGAATTTATTCTATACTATATACATATATATGAATATATATATGTGTGTGTGTGTGTGTGTGTGTGTGTGTGTGTGTGTGTGTGTGTGTGTGTGTGTGTGTGTGTGTGTGTGTGTGTGTGTGTGTGTGTGTTAATATGTACGTACGCATATATGTTTATACATTCGTATATGTGTATGGACAGTACTTACGCATGTATGTGTGTATGCATCTATGTATTTTTTTACAATATCAGCTGTAGTAGCAGCATTATCATCATTATTACTATTGTTGCTGTTATTGTTACTTTTACCAATATGGTTATTTCTATTACAATAATCATAATTTTAATTACAATCGAAATTCTAATCATATAATCATGATTATGATATGATCATGATCATAATCATAATTATAATTATAAACAGGATTATTACAATAAATATGATTACAATTATAATCATCATTACTATTTTTATCATTTTCATTATCATAACCATCATTGTCACTATTATTAACAATGTTGTTTTGATATCATTATCATCGTCATTATGTTTTAAGTATCATTATCATCATTATCATACGGTGAAGAGATAGGAGGGCTAATTGAGGGTAAATTCGAACAGTGTGATAACTCGATCCCTACGATAAGATAACAGGGATAGTCTTGTGTAGGCTTAAAAGCAAGGAGGATTTAGTGAAATAAGAACTATAGTTTAAATGACATGATAACTGGAATAGTTCCGTTCGGATAATGGGGATAATTAAGATGATAAAACTGCATAGATAACGAGACGATAAAGATAATTTGGATTTTAAGATTGACAGGAGTAGTTTTTATGGTAATATAACGTCGAAAAAAATGATAAAATGTAAGAAAGGTGGATGGAAAGTGTGACAAATGCTAACTAAAATAGATAAATAAATGAATAAATAAAACAATTATAAAAAAGAAATAAAAGAATGCATGAATTTACGTTGATGTGTATTAATGTTTATATATCGAGACGTGTGTGTTTAGTTGTTTTAATGAGACAGATGCTATGTGATTTTTTTAAAATTTCTATATCAATGAATGTTTTCTTTTTTTTGGGGGGGGAGGGGAGAGTGAGTGTGTGTGGGTGCGAATCTTTGCAAATATTTCGTGTGTGTGAGTGCGAATCTTTGCGAATATTTCGTGTGGTGTAATATTTCGTGCGAAATCTTTGCGAATAATGCGTGTGTGATGCGAATTAATGTGTGTGGATAATCGGTGTGCGGGGTGTGCGGTGTGATGCGTATTTCGTGTGTCGCGAATAATATAATAATGCGAAATATTCGTGTGTATAATACGCGAATCTTTGCGAATATTTCGTGTGTGGATGCCAATCTTTGCGAGTGTGTGCGCGAATATTTCGTGTGTGCGAATCGAATCTTTGCGAATATTTCGTGTGTGCGGGTGCGAATCTTTGCGAATATTTTGTGGAATGTGTGTGTGTAGTGCGAATCTTTGCGAATATTTCGCGTGTATGTTCGTGCGAATCTTTGCGAATATTTCGTGTGTGCGAATGTGTGCGAATCTTTGCGAATATTTCGTGTGTGTGGATGCGAATCTTTGCGAATGCGAATCTTTGCGAATATTTCGTGTGCGAAATAATGCGAATCTTTGCGAATATTTCGTGTGTGTAGTGCGAATCTTGCGAATGCGTCGTGTGTGTAAGTTGCGAATGCGATATTTTCGAATAATAATGCGAATCTTGCGAATATTATGTGTGTAAGTAATCGTGTAATAAGCGAATCTTTGCGAATCGTGTGTGTAAGTGCGAATTTTGCGAATATTTCGTGTGTGTAA